ACTTTTGAACATTGAATGCATTGAACAGAGAGTTAGTGAACGTATTGATAGTAATTACGCGACGATCCCTACAATAGGAAATGCATTGCATTTACAATCAACACAAATATCTGTGAAACCAATCATTCAGTGATTACTTAACTGTGGATCAGATGAATGAGTTGCTAATTGGTCGGAGGATTAGCTAACTATTGCATCACAATCGGGAGATATATAATTGGATTGAGTGTGAGATACGCGACCACTTGAGCGGCGAAGACATGTCGAGTATAGTAAGTGTCAAACGGTTATGATTGATGGTTGCCTGTGATGATCACCTAATGGTACGACCCATTCCTCCACTCCTTAGCACAAACTGAAGTCCTCTGAGAGGGCGAAAGTGCGGCAATTCATTCAACTGACGAACTGCTCGGAGAAGATAGCGATGAACTGTTTGGCGCAAAACGAGTGGCGTCTGGAGATGGCGTGCGACTCATTCTTCCAGAGTCCCGACCAATACATGAAAGTGGTGGACAGGAAGAAGATCGACAACTGGTTCCACAAATACGCTCAAAGCCAGGACAAGATCCTGGTCGACGGCTGCATACAACTGCTCGAAGACCTGAGTTTACGACCGAATGACCGCAAAGTCCTGATTTTGGCCCAAAGACTGGGCGCTCAGAGGCAGTGCGAGTTCACGCGCCAGGAGTTCACCACCGGTATGGCTGACATGAACTGTGACTCCAATCAGACCCTCTATCAACGGCTCGTCGAGTTGGACAACGAGGTCACCACTGATCTCAACAAACTCCGAGACCTCTATCTCTTTGCCTGGAATTACGGCAAACAACTCGAGGCCAAGACCATGGAGTGGGAGACGGCCGTCGAGTACTGGAATATTCTGCTCCACAACACTGTCAACACACAACTGCTTCAGCTCTGGATTCAGTTCGTGTCCGACAATCGCAAGGCTGTCACCAAAGACACCTGGAATCTGTTGCTCGAGTTCGCCACCAGTATTGACGCCACGCTTAGTAATTATGACTTCGACGGCGCCTGGCCTACGCTCATAGGTATGTCCACACTGTCACGCATACCGTTCCCCTGACACTCATTATCCTCTTGTATTCCGCAGATGACTTCGTGCTGTGGGCCAGGGATCGACTCAAAGCACACAATACTCGCGCAACCATTCAGTCTAATCAATGATCGCATCGTTTATGATTATATATGAATATTCAGTCATTCAATGTCTCACTCTTTCTCTCTGTTTATTGTAATTAAAAAATTAATGTTTGTTTTATTCGTCCCTTTATTTTATTGGAAACTTTCATTCAATAACTTTTTATTTAATTAATGCTCTGTTTATATATTACTGTTTATTGTTTCGTATTATTTGATTGTATTTATCCATTGGTTTGCAATCAATTCATTAAATTATTGTTTTTTCTTGAATGTATGTCTGATATATAAAATATTTTTATGAAATGAGAGATAATGTGATGTGAAATAGTATGAAATGCTAATAAATGTCTAATTTTTAGATTAATTTTTACAAAATTTTCGATTCAATTAAACTAATAAGTTATAACTTATAACTCATAAGTGAATATACAGTGAATTGGATTAAATGGTATCAATATATTTGGGAGTTTACTAAACATATCATTTTAAATAATACCGGTATATCATAAAGTTTATTACTGTATATACTGTACTTCCTGTAAATATAAGTTTAGTTTAGTTTAAACGAGTCGAGTAAAGAACTTTAAGTAGGATACTTTTTATAATTACTGTATTATACATTTAAGTTGTAATAATCTAAAAATTAACTTATTACTAATTTAATACTTGTATTACAATTACAATTTATAGTTATGTAAGTGTATACAATGTATAGAATCGTATAAAATGTTTTAAATTAATTTTAAAAATATTTATTGAAAGCTGGATTAACGCAAGTGTGTAGCTAATAGGAACTTATAAATACTGTGGCTAATTAATATCTATTAATTATTTGCTATATATTTTCAATATAAGTAGTTTCAATATAAGAATTTTTAAGTTAAACAAACTTAATAGAAAATATTTTTTGGTAAAAAAGTAAAAGACTTTTTTTAGTATCAGTAAATTATTGTGTACATAAATTTTTGAATACTTTGTATAAATAGAGAAAATAATATCTGTATTTGAGAATAGATATTAAATAATGTAAAATGCAGTAAAACCTAACTAATTTATATACATAAATATCTTAGATGTAATAAAACAACAATAAAAGCATTCACCTTGTTGTATTTGTTTGTAAAGTTTAAACAGTAAGACATTTGAATCCTATAATTCATAAAAAAATTTATAGCAAATAATTATACATTAGTTTGTGTCTGCATTCATAAAATATAGACTTTTATAAAATATTAGTCTTTGTTTGAGAGGACAGACAACTAATAAAAGAGTCTGTATTTTGTTGGTGTGACTCAAATACTTTCGCATATACTTGAGAACTGAAAAACTATTTAATAGTCTTACATAACATGAAAGATAGAAAAAAGAGTTTTCGATATAATTGTATTGGAAGTTGAAGTGTCCGTAACTAATGACAAACAATGCCGAATAATCTCATTATAGGTACAAATATTTTCAAACAAAACTATAAATAATTATTTTCTTTAAAGTGTTGCATAAGAATGTTAATGTTACAATCTCTCTCTCTCTCTCTCTCTCTGTTTATTGTAATTAAAAAATTAATGTTTGTTTTATTCGTCCCTTTATTTTATTGGAAACTTTCATTCAATAACTTTTTATTTAATTAATGATCTCTCTCTCTCTCTCTCTCTCTCTCTCTCTCTCTAACATAACTCATAATGACAGATATTACTATTGCATTATTACATAAGTCTAGCCAATGTTTTTATGCAGTACTTTAACAATAAATGAAAGCTAATCACAGATGCAAAGGGTTGAGAGGGCCTAACCTCTCAAAATGAGACACTTATGTAAAATATTTGCAAAACTATTTCGTATGCAGTATATTATGTGTCAATTAATATAAATGAATAAAGGCAAAGAATTTATAGACAATTGTGTATTAATCTTGATTAGATACATAAGACTACAATTATATTTCACAAAAAAAACAATCAATTTCTAACTTAAAAAATCTATGAACAGGATCATATAAAATTCTTATACTTTGTATATAAAACGATACATTTATTTTATTAGGCCTTAAGTCTAGTCAAACAGATCTAATGAGAGGTTAGACCATGAAAAGCACGCACACCTGCTTAAGCCAACTAAACACTGGTATGTAAAGCATATTTATGTATATAAAAAACTTTGGCATAACTGGCAGTCATTGGTTGAGATGTTGTCTCCAATTATATAAGAGATGAGAAGTTAAGAGCCAACCATAGGTGTGATCTCATAATGAGTTGAGTGGGCCCTCCCTTCCACTGTTTTATACATTGTGTATGATTTGGTGGATTGTATGGCACTCTGAGACACAACTCTGAGATTTGCAACGAATATATAAGTGAATGTAGAGTTGGATTCAGACTATCAGTGCTCGAAATGGGTGGTCAGAGATGTGCCATACATTACCTGGAAGTGGGCGCCCCTCACATCCCAAAGAAAAGTTGGCTTTCATTATTGCTTTACACTTTATTGTCACTGATTTTTCAAATAATTACATTTATTGTTAATAATCACTTATTATTAAATATATTTACAAACTTAACCACCAGATCATAAGTGCCCGTTCAGAAATAAATATTATGAGTGCCGGTGTGTTAACTGTGCCCGACTTAAGTGGAGGTCTGACCTGGAAAAGCGTATCAAAAACTGTCGGCCCTGTGTGACCAATGGTTAGACTTGTGTCACATTTGGTGTTTTGATTGCATTTTTAAATACTTTTTATTAAATCTATTAAATTATTTATATCATTACCGGTAATAATATCTACTAATGATTCATAATTAAATATTGTAGTTAGTATATCACTATCATATTAAATTTTTAAATACATAATTGAAAATTATTTATATGCAACATATTTATATACAGTACGGTACAGTGATAGTTCAAATAGTCTATATGTATAACTTATAAATGATTGTGTACAGAATTATAATAATTAAATGCAATTTATAGGACATAAAGGGGAGTGTGGTTACAAAGAATGCAATGAAAATAAATAAACTTTTTACTAATAAGTTTCCATTAGTGACTAATTTGCAATTTGTATCACAAATTATACACTTACCGTAATTCTATAATCATGTGAATACAACAACTTTTTCAGTTCTCTAATAACTCAATATGTCTTATAAATTGTAATATTAATAATATAATAATAAGTTATTGTGTATAACCTTGCTTATTTTAAATGTATACAGAATACTTCAAACTAAATTTATTCAGACCGTGGGAACAAATGGTATACTTGTTATCATTTTGTGAATTATACGTAAAACTAATACAAAACTCATTTCATTATTAAGAGAAAAGAAAAGAGAGACAACAGAATGGATTTGAAACCAATTGGTGACAACTGTTGTGTCACTTCATATGATAACAGAGAGGATAGAGTGCTCGTCAATGACGGCAACCAACAGCTCCGAGATCTAAGTCTTCGGCCAAATGACTCAAAAGTCAATCTTTTGGCCCAAAGACTGGACGCTCAGAGACAGTGCGAGTTTACGGGACAGGAGTCTACCACCGGTATGATTGACCGTAGGATAAGCGGTGGACAGTTGGCTATTGCATATAATGATGGGTTGCAGTGTTTGTCCACTGAACTACAATGGCTTCGTTGCATTGCCTCCCAATATGCCAATCGTATTGACCACATACCTGTGCTGGATTATGGAACCGGTATTCCGGCATATTATATGTTTCAAATGGGTTTCATTAAAAACTTTGAATGCATGATTGCGATAATTACTGTATCATATTTTGCTTACTACGATAACAGGACTAAAAGTGACAGTTATGACTATACTATTGATAACAAAGTATTATATACTAACAATTTGTTTGTATTGATCCATCATAAAACCAATTCGTAAGATTTCATAGATGAATAAGAATTGATTAATTGATAATCAAATTGAGAGAAAATATTGAATAAAATCTCTAAAACTTTGCGACAAAAGTTGTCAAAAGTTTGTGCGACAAACAGTTGTGTAAACGTATGACTCGTTCGTAACGACATCTCACGAGTGATGAGCGAAAGCACTGTTTGAGTGATTTATTCAAAAATTGGTCACAAATTGTCAATTCATTACCACTTCTGGTGTCTTGAAGTATGTCTTATAGTCGATGACAATGTCCGCAACGGATCCCTTCGCAGAGGACATCATACAAGACATCACTGATGACTATTTGTTGGCATTGAGTCTTCAGGCCATTGAGGATGAGT